GCCTCTCGCTCTCCCGCCCGACCACGGAGCGGCCTCGCGGCGAGGGTCCACGCCAGAGGGTCACGCACTTCCCAGGGTGAGGACGAGCCCGACCACTGTCCTGCCAAACGCGTCAGTTCGTCCAGCCCCAAGCCGGGTGATGCCAGGGTCGGGAAGGCGCGAGGAGTGACGCTCGGTTCCCGAGGATGGGGTCGCACCCCGCGGGGCTCCTTGGCCGGGCTCGCGCAGGTGGCAGCTCTTCCCACCCAGTCCTCGCAGTTCCCGGACGTCTTTGCGCTTTGTTTTGGGGCGAGGATCACGGGGGTTTTATTGGCGCTAAGTACAGTTGGCTTTGGAGGTTTACAAAACAAACAGAAGCAGCCTTTCGTCTCCCTCCACGTTCTGGGGGAGAGCGAAGATTCTCGCACGTTTCCCCTCGTGCGACTCGGGCCTCCGCATGGGGGGAAGGAACTGAGACAGAGCCGCCCCTCGCCTCCCGGGAAAGTTCTGTCCCTTCTCTGAGTCAGGGCAGTGCCCAATTCCTGAAGCAGAAGGGCAGGAAGGAGGGCTTGGCCCTGACCTGTAAGCCAGAATACGAAGATAAAGGCATTAACCTTTTGAAACAATTCCCTCCACAGACCGTTTTATTTGTTTTCGTTTAGCAAACGTGGTAGCGGCCCCCGCTGGACCAGGACAGATCCCGGAGTGGTGTCTACGCAGAGGGACTTTGTCCCTTCCTCAGAGGCCAGGCAGCTGCCAAACTCCAGCGACTTTGGTCCCGCAAGCCAGGGAAGGTGCGTCCTGAACAAGGCAGTGCAAAATGAGGTAGAGGGCGCGAAGCTGATGAGCTTTTTCGATTAAAACCCCGTTTTTGTTTAATTCCAAGATTTAATGGTGGGGACTTAACTGAGGCAAATGACCCATTTGGCCGTTGTATCTGGATTTAAAAAACACACACACACACACAAATTACTGTGCTAACAAAAGATTCTAACTATAGCCAAAGGGTTAGGGAATCCAACCGAAAAGCAGCCTAGATTGAGAAAAGAGCTAGAACAGGGCACGTCACATGTAATATTACTTAAAACATTAAAACGATGACTATGACAGTTTCCCTACTCCACCACAACACACATACACACACTCACACTTGAGCAACGTTGAATTTAATGAAAATTGACCGTGAGCAAATGTTGTTCTAGTGCAGCTCTGTTAGACCAGCTCCAGGTTTATGTGAAATCGTATGCGTTGTTAATTTCGCTTGTTCATGGAAAAAACACTGAATAGCACTGGTTAAACAAGGTGCTTTCAGGTGAGGCAACTTGGTTCAGGTTAAGTTTGGTGTCTTGAATAATTTTCAGTCACGAAAATGCAGGGTGAAATTTTTCATCAAACATTCTTCATCTCAGGAAGAGACAGGCTGAGATGGTTCTGCTGGGCAACACCTCCTGGGGTGTCTCAAAAAGCTTGGTTTCTAGGCCTTCTTTTTTTTAACTGATTAACTGGTTAGACTAGTTCACACTGAGAAATAGTTAATATTATTCAGAAATACTTTATAAATGACTAATAAATGATCAGGTTTTTATATATTTTACTAAGCAACTAATGCCCTATCCAGAGGAACTCATGAAGGCAAAAGAAACCCCTTTATTTAATGAAAAAGACTAAAAAGAGTGACGAAAAATAAAAAGGTTATGTTGCTATAGCGGCGGGCATGTCATACAAATACTATGCAACTCAAAATCCACAGACAGGCCTATTTAACCATTTGAAGACCTGATGGTGTTTCTCACCTTTGTCAAGGAGAAGAAATATGTAAAACAGGTGGATTTACTAGAGAAAAAGTATGTCACCTTACTGGTGACATAATTTTGTGGAGCACATTTTTTATATTTCTGGCATCCTTTTAAATATCATCTTCTAACTGATTCCCTCTGTATTAGCCCATTTTCTGTTGCTATAACAAAATACCTGAGTACTTTGTCTACAGAAAAAGGATTGTTGAGCTCACAGTTTTGGAAGCTAAAAGTCCAAAATCAAGTGGCCCTCATCCGTTTAGCCTCTGAGGACACTCTTGGCTGCTCACTACGTGATGAGTGTCATGGCAAGGAGAGACCACGTGATGGGACAGGAGCTCTGAGGGCTACACCTTCCTTTTATAACAGCTGTCTTTAGTAACTAGGATCCCTTAGTTATTAGTCCCTTCTGAGTGTGATTTGTCTTGAACCCTTGTACCAGGCCCCACCTGCACACCACCACACTGAGAATCAAGCATTCAGCACATGAACATCTGGGGGACACACTCAATACCAGTGCATAGCACCTTCTTCCCACTAGTAAGTGTTCCATGATGGCAGCAGTTTTATCTGACCATTACTCTGTTCTCAGCTCCTAGAACCCTGCTTGATGGTTGGCATTCCATAAATATTTGATGAAGTGATTAAGGAAGAACCTCCTCTAGGTGTTTAAGGTGTGTTCCCCTACCCCGCAAAAGGATATGGTTTACCACACCCAACTCTCTTGTTTATCTTCCTGCCCATTACACTTAATAAGGCTTATTCAAAAATCAGAGGGGAAAAGGGAGAAAGAGGAGCCCTATTATAAAGATCACATGAGTCTTGGAGCCAGTGCCTGAAAGCCATTGTACATTTTACTTTTCCTTTAACACACTCCTCTTAAATTGAATTGTACTTATGTCATTTGTGACTAGTAAAGCCCTAACACATACAGGGATGGTGATAATAAATATATATTGGGCCATTATTATGTGCCAGACCCTGAACTATGTTACATGCATTATTTCATTACTGCTCACCACAACCCTACAGCATGTTGTAATCCTATAAACCAGATGGTAAACAACTGTGCTCTGAATTATTTGAAAATGGAATGGGCTGGGATGATCTATAGGTTCCATTTGAAGGATTTAGATTAAACAGAATAGAGATGTTTCTGCCAGGGTGATTCCATCCTGGAATGAGTACCAAGACAGATGATTTGAGTTGGCTTCTGAGGAATTTAAACTAGGACTGCCCTCTTCCACGTGGTGTAATCTGCAGGCATGTTTGACCATTCAGTATGACTGGTAGACAGTGCAGAGTTGTTGACGGTTGAAATGATTTGAATCTGGTATGCTGAAATGGGTGCAGTGAGGTGAGTATCTTTCTGAGTGTAAAAGTAATTCCTGCCCAGAGGCAGTGATTTAGAATAGATGAAATCTTAAGGGCTCTTGTAGCCCTGGAGAATTTCTCAGATCATATTGAAAGACTATTAGAGATACAAGACAAATTATTAGAGCAGTCTTTGGGAGATTGTGAGTCTTTTTATCAATAATTAACATGTTAATAGTATTTTATATCCTTTGAAGGGCTTTTTCTTTTTTATTATTTTTCATTAAGTTTATTGGTACATTTTAGATATATAATACAGTTGGCATTCATCATTGGGATCTTGTAACTTTACATGATGTATCTTGGTTCTTATTTTTTCCCCATTCCCCTGCCCTCCCTTTACCCCCTCCACCCTTCCCTATTTACAATGACTTTGTTTCCATTTTTTCATTTTCTCATATTTTTTCTTTTCCCTCCTTTCCTTTCCCCTACCTCTCCCACTTCCTCTACCCCTTAGACCTTTTGTTCTTATTTCACATTAGCAATTATACATTTTGATCCTTATTTACACTTTTGGTTTTTCACATCAGAGAAACTATTCAGTATTTGCACATGTGTGTCCTATATATTTTGCTGACAAAGTATGGCTTTAATGTGTATTCATTTAGCTGTAAATGTCTGTAGATTCTCATTCTTTAATGGCTGAGTAGTGTTCCATTTATTTAAAAAAAAAACACACACACATACATCCACTCTCCTGTTGATGGGCAATTGGTCTCTTTCCAAGTTTTATCTATTACAAACTGTGCTGCTGTAAACATAGATGAGCATATATCTCTGTGGTATGATTCTTTTAATTTGGGGGGAAAGATACCCAGCAGGGGAAATAGCTGGGTCAAATGGGACTTTCAGTTCTAGTTCTTTGCGGTATCTCCATACTGATTTACACATTAATTTTACCAGTCTATGCTCCAATCAGTGATGGAGCAGGGTTCCTTTTCCCCCACAGCCTTGCCAGCATTTGTTATTGGTTGCTTTCATGATAGCAGCCATTCTTTCTGGGGTGAGGTGGGGAATCTCAGTGTTGTTTTCATCTGCATCTCTCAAACAACAAATGTTGAACATTTTTTCATGTTTACTTGCAGCTTTTACTTGTTTGTCTGAGAAATGTTTGTTCATTTCAGATGTTCATTTTTTTTTAATTGGGTCTTTATATTTGAGGGGTCTGATTTTTTCAAATTCTTTATATATTCTAGATAGTAGACCTTTGTCTGAGGAACAGCTGGTAAATATTTTTTCCCATATTGTAGGTTGTCTCAGCTCTGTTCATGATTTCTCTTACAGTGCAGAAGCTCTTTAAAATGATGATATCCCAGTTGTTGATTCTTTGTGCTAGTTCCCATGCTACTGAGGATTTGTTCATAAAGTCTTTTCCTGTACCAATATCTTCAAGAGTTCTACCTAATTTATCTTCCAGCAAGTTTAGTGTTTCTATTTTATTATTTAGAGCTTTAATCCACTTGGATTTTAGTTTAGTGCATGGTGAAAGATAGGGGTCTAGTTTTAATCTTTGGAAGGTTGAAATCCAGTTTTTCCAACACCGTTTATTAAAGAAGCTATCTTTCCTCCAGTGGGGATAATTGGTTCCTTTGACAAAGATGAGGTAGCTGAGTATGTCTGGAGTTGTTTTTGCATCTTCCAATCTATTCCACTGATCCTCAGGTCTTCTTTCCAGTACCATGTTGTTTTTATCACAGTGGCTTTGTAGTATAGTTTCAAGTTGGGGATTGTCATGCCTCTGTTGCTTAGAATTGCTTTGCTATTCTAGGTCTCTTCTAGTTCCAAATGAATTTTTTAATTGTTTTCTCTAATTCTGTGAAATACACTGTTGGGATTTCTATCAGGATTGCATTGAATAGCAGTTTGGAAAGTGTGGCCATTTTCACTATATTGGTTCTTCCTACCTAGGAGCAGGGGATCTTTCCATTTTCTTATATCCACTTCAAATTCTATTTTCAGAGTGCTATAGTTTTCAATGTAGAGGTCTTTTGCTTCCTTCATTAGATTGATTGTTAGATATTTCAATTTTTGGATGCTATTGTGAAAGGGATTGTTTCCCCAATTTCTCTTTCAGTGAGTCTGTTACTTGTACAAAGGGCTTTCACATTCTCTTTTTTTTTTGGTACCTGGGATCGAACTAATGACCTTGTGCTTACAAAGCAGGCAGCAGAGCCACTGAGCTAAATCCCTGGCCCAGCTTTCACATTCTTTATCGTATTGTATTCTAGCAGGTATCTGAAATCCAGTAAAATCTGGACTTCAGTAGATATGAGTGTTTTTTTTAGTCTGCATCATCTTGAGTGTCCTTTGGAGATGGTACTCACTGAGGTCCCTAGCTGTGCACACAGAGCTTTCTGTGGAGGTCTCCTCACATAGCCCTTTTACTAGTGTTCTCACAGTGTGTCTTAAGCCTTGGCCCACAAGAAACAAATGGCTTTGCATCAGCCCTGGAAGTACACAGCTCCTACAGCAGTCTGTCCTTGCTCTGCTCAAGTTGTTTTTTGTAAATTGCCCAAGGTTTATTGTGAAACCAGACCTCTTACCCCATCTGATGTCACTTACTATGAGGAGACATATTTTAGGGGAGACTCAGACTCCAGCCCCTGTACTCTCTGAATTCCAGA